CGGATCCGCCCTACTTTGGGGACGTTCGTAAGTGGAACTTGGAATTTCCGCCTTACTTTTCAAGCCCCGCTGATGCCAATTTCCGCCCTACTTTTCTGTTGCTGTTTCTGTGGATTTCCGCCCCATTTTATGTTGGGTGCAGCAATTTCCGCCCTGCTTGTTCGGCCTATTCTAGGTGGATTTCCGACGCAATTTTAAGTTGGAAACAAAAAGCCAAAGTAGGGCGGATCTGGAGTCAGGCCTACTTTGTTATGGCATCCGGAGCACGCCCCCCGAGGGCCGACATCGACGAAGGCAGCGCCTCTTGTCGGAGAGCCCGCCGATCGTCGGAGCTGCGGGCCCCCGCCGGGGGGGAGCGGCTCGCTCGTTTGCTCCCGCCTCGCACGCCGCGTATACGCTCCCGCCGGCCATCCCGCGCTCTCCTCGGCCACGCGCGGAGGTGGGTGTGGGGAGTAAAACGACGCGAAGATCGGGACAAAATCGGATCGGGATAATTCGAAATCTCTGAGAATCGGCGGGCTTGGAGGATGTATTGGGCGCCGCGGCCGCTCCAGAGCGTTCCGGAACGCTCTGAGAGCGCTCCGGAACGCTCTGGAGCGATTTATCCCGATCCTAGCCCTGTTTTAGGGAGGGCGGGAGGCTTCCTCGAAGCACCCCTGCTTCTCAGAGGGCGCGAGCCTTCCCTGCAGATGTAGGGCAGGCGCCTTCTGAGAAGCAGCCTCCCTCTCAGAAGCATTATTCCCCCCTCCCCCTTGTCCCCGTGTGCGCACCGCCACTCTGCCCTCCTCGCGCACCCTTTCCCTCTGCGCGGCCCGCCTCGGCTCCAGCACCGTGCAGCTGCGCCGTCGACCCTCTCAGTGAGCCCGGCGGCGTGGAAGCGCGCAGCCGCAGAGCAGCGAGCGGCCCGCGACATGGCAGAGCTGCGCGCTTTCGTGAGCGCAGGGATGGGCGAGCCGGTGGAGGAGCTGGTGAAGAGGCCCCAGAGGATCGGTGGTTCAAAGGTAGGGCCCTGAAGGATGGGGTGCCGAGGACGAGGTGCCCCAGACAACGCACATCCACCCTCGGAGCCCTCCCTATCCTCAGAAGCGCATCCTTCAGGGCCCCGTCTGCCTCAGGACGGGGAAAAGCACAGACACAATGAATCGTCGATTCCTAAGACAATCTGCGAAAATACGGGAAGTGGGGGGGAGGACGAAAACCCTCCAAATACCCATACGACCACCCTGCGGGTGATAAGGAGGTTGAGGGGGGGAGGGGGGCCAGCAATAGGTAACAGTGGTGATTGCCGCTCGCTCTTGGGAGCCTTGGTGTCGAGTTGTTTACGTCATCCTGCGCTCTTGGGCGCCTTGGTATCATTCTGCCCCCCCCCCGGGAACCAACGAAATAATAACTTATTTAGTTCATTTTGCAAGGGCTTGGGGGGCCGTTTGGGCGCGTCTTTTGCACCTCTTGGGGGGTCTTGGAGGCCTCTTGGGGGCTCTTGGGGGCCACCGGCGGGACACCGGCGGGACACCGCGCACCACCGCTTGCTGGAGGGAGAATCATGTGGTCCGGCCGGGGCCCAGCCACAAGCGGGACACCGGCGGGACACCGCGCGCCACCGCTTGCCGGAGGGAGAATCATTTGGTCCGGCCGTGCCTCAGCCACTGGAGATTTTCCTCTCGCCCGCCCACGCAGCTTCGCCTCGCACGCACGCACGGCACGCACGAACACGAAACCGAAACCGATTTCCTGGTGGGGGGCTCTCCGTTCCACTTCGATCTCACCCCCCAACCTCCGATAAACAAAGATGGGGGATCCTTGGATTTGCGTGTGTGTATTTATTTGTGTGTCCCTGGGCCCCTTCATCTTTGAACTGCCGAAAGGAGGCATTACAGCCTCTCCGCGAGCACCGAGGACCCTGGGACCGACGGGGAGTACAGCCGCGCCCTGTCGGACGTGTCCTGCCTGGACGCCAGCGCCGCTCTTCTGGGCGATGCCTGGACCTACCAGGCTCGGGGGCCCCGAACGTTGACCACACCGTGTGGTGAGTCGGTGAAGATTCGAGGTCACCGCACGGTTTTGGGACTCGGGTCGTCTTCCGAGGACGTCTCGGGCGACAGGGGCCTCCGAGGTCCCAAAACCGTGCGTTGACGGACCGTGCGGTGAGGTCTTGGGGGATCTCGAGGTCACCGCACGGTCTGTCACCGCACCGTTTCGGGACTCCAGACAGGCAGCCGTGGAGTCCCAGACGGTGTTGCGCAAGCTCGCCACCCCTGGCGAGGGCGCCCCTCATGCCTGGGCCGCCGGCTCGGGTGGTGCAGCCGTCTCCCAGGCTCCCGGGGTCGGGCAGGAGGACGAGCAGGCGAAGCGTGCGGAGTGGGCCAGCTGGCGTGCTCGGCGCCAGCAGCGGCTGGAGAGGCGCTCCGCGACGCGGGAGCAATACGGCACCATGAACTTGGAATGCCGGTTGCGCTATTGCAGCAGCGATTGTGGCCAGTGCAGGGCGACCGCCAGCTAG